TGTATATGTATTTATGACCGTTGCGTATCCCAAGGTCATGTGATCCATCTTTTGCAACCTTCTGACAAGCAAAGTCAATGGGGAAGCCAGATTCACTTAACAACTGTGTTATTCACATCTGCATTACTTAACAATTGTGGCAAGAAAGGTCCTACAATAGAGGAAAACTCACTAAGCAAATGTATTGTTTTTTAGCAACCAAAATTTTGGGCTCAATTGTGGCTGTACGTTGAGGACCGTACCTATATGTTCTCCTCCTTGACTTATTTATAGAAAAGAAAGGTGAAATAAAAATAAAATTGATGCCTCTGAGATCATGGTAGCCCCAGGTATCAAGAGTTTTAGGGGAAATTATATACTTCAAATACATCTGATCAGATTGAATAGGCTTCTCTCATATACATCAGCCCTCTAAGGCTGACCAGATTAGGAAACTAATTCCTAATAGACCAGAATATACTTTATTGAGATAGGTTAACGTAACGAAATCTGTTTGTCTTTTACCTTGCTTCCCACTGATACCCAGTAAAGACAAAAGGAGCCAGCCAAAGCCTCTTCCTGATACTTCCCCCTTTCCTAGAGTGGAAGGAATACTTCTGTAGCAGCTTCTGAATCTTCTGTTCAAGGATCTACATGACTCCCTACTTATACGAATAGATATTAGGTGTTCCAGGCAATATATATGTTGTTTCTGTCTGTGATTATTTTCTTGCAGTGAGCAGAACTTTCACCATGCTAGTAATTTCATTATTAAAAAAAACATAGAATGCTGATTATTGTCTTACTGAGATGTACATTGTGCATAGTTTGAAAACTGTGTTTTCTACCTAAATTGATTCACATATTTCAAACGCTGCCTTTTTATAAAATTGACCAGATAATTTTTCTTGGCAGAGTATTGTGACACTAGACAATGGCTCACTGAATCAGGTGCAGAAATGGGATGGCAAAGAAACAATAATAAAAAGAAAAATAGAGGATGGTAAATTGGTTGTGGTAAGTTCATTTTTGGTTATAAACATTTGGGATGTTTTCCAGCAATAGAAATGGCAAGTTTATGAGTGAACATTTTTCAAAGGGGAAAGAGTAAAATAAGTAAAGATATTCTCTTTTTCCTATCCTATAGAAGAAAGATGTGTCTTATTTTGGTTGGTGAGTCAAGAATTCCTTGAAGTTAATAAGCAAGTTAATACAGAAAGGAAATACTAGGCTATTTTGCAAGTAGAACAGTATATCTTGTGCTATTTTTTAAAAAGTATTTAAAGCAAATCTCACTTTGAGAGCATTATTTCAGACTCTACTACAACCATTCTCCGATTCTCAATCTGAGAATGCATCAGATTGGCTCAAATTTGCAACAAACATCCTTTTTAGTGTAGAATGATTTCAAAATGAAGCAGGTTTTAAATATTATGATTCAATGGCAGCCCCTAGTAATGAGTTGATTGGAAATGAATGACCCTAGCCGTGGCCGAATGGTGATTCTCATATTTATACACTTATAATCTATAATTTTTACAAGAGCAGAGCAATGGATCAGATTGAAAAGTGATATTGATGGATGCTGTAATCTCTAATGGGACATGCAGGGAAACTCCACTCTTTTGATATTTAAAACCTTTTCTATAGGCACCACCTACATGCTTCCAAAAAGACAAATGAAAAGAAAATCCTAGTAATTGAAATGCTGTCTTGATTTTAGCAAAGAAAAAGCATTCTAGCAGACAGTTTCTCACTGAAAAGTAATCAGAAATACTCTTCTCACTGGAAAAGGTAATGCCAACCTGCCATGTATGAGCTGTGGCAAGAGCAGTTTCAGGAAAATGAGAAGTCATTCAGATTTCAGGATGACGTTGGCATGCAGGCACATGTGCAAACAAGACAATTGGATTAACTGATCGTTTGTGACAACATCAAGGGAAGGGCCTTAAGCAAATGTGTTTTCAACAAAAATGTCTAAATACGTTGCCAGTAAGGTATTATGTTGACTTGCACAACCTATGAACTGTGGAAACTCGAAGGTATCTTAAAAACTCTTGCTTAAATATTCCGAATATTTCTCAGTCTTTTATACAAGCATAATTCAAATTATTTAAAAACCCAATATTCAGTCCATTGTTAAACAGAAAAGTAAGTCAAATTCTCTTCAAGCAAGCCAAAAGAGCAATTTTCAAATATTGGAAATTGTTTTTCTGGCCTTTTTGGAGAGAATTTGTCTAATGCATTTTTCAGTGGTCAAGGATATAAGCACATATAAGCAGACTTAAGCAATTTGAGTCTTCTTCTCTTGGATATGATTTTTTAAAAAATAAAGCACCATTGCCTGGGGTCATGCAATACACTAAGCCAAAATTGGTTTAGCGTGTTGCATCAATCCAAGTCTTGTTGGCTTCCTTGATAGTCTCATACTTCATTTGAATAAAGGGACACCTGATCCACTTACTGAAAATAACTGTATTGATGATATGATATAATGGTGATATTCTTGTGCTTTTTTCTCTTCTAGGAGTGTGTAATGAACAAAATTGTCTCCACTAGAGTGTATGAGAAAGCATGAAAAATCCATATTGTACAAATTAGATGTATCTCAAAGCAAAATATGAAGTTTGATTCACGGAGCAGAGCCTTCAGCTCTGTTGAAGTTGAATTTGACAGACCAACTCCCAATTACTTTTGTACCTAATTCAGAACATTTTGATTATTCAATAAAGTGTTTACCTTGAAATGAAAAAGTTTCTGACTCAGTTGTGGAAATTGAATAAGGATCAGTCAAAACTAGATTTTCATGTTCTCCTTATGGGATCAACTTAGCCTCATTATTCCTCACTTATTTAAATATTTTTTAGAAATCTGACTGTAGTAAATAATGAAATAGGCTAAAGTGTAATTGTCCTGCCCCACCTATTCTTTTATACTGTGTACGTTGAAAAGTTCATTGTTTCTTTACTGCTGTATTTGCTGTTTTACTTCCTATAGAAAAATCAATTTCAAAAAAAATAATGCTGGAATAACTAGAGTCCAGGGCTTCCAGTGGGTGGTTTCAAGAATCGTCTTTTTGGAGCCATAATTTGTTAGAACAAACGTCTAGGATTCTTCCTGAGAATAAATTAATGTCTTTTGGGAAAATAGGAAGGCCAGAAGTTGCTTGTTGTGCTATTTGGAGCATAGTTCCAAGAATTACCCATATTGATTATCTTAAAAAATGTTTAAAGCAGGACTTCTAAAATCTCCAAATTATATTTGAAAGTTATGCTGTGGACTTGGCATAAAGTGACTTGCCATAATAGACATGGCCAGCATGACTATATTCATTTACCAGGACATTAGATTGATTCCTAAATTCCACACTTCTCCACCATCCTGGTTTACCTTTCTCTGAGTTGGGATGCCCACTTCCTAAGAAAGCATTGGCTGTGTAACTCCTCGCTCTTCTTTCCCTGATCTAAGAATACTTAGGGATTCCAGAAACAGTCAAAAATAAAAGATGAAGTTGGTGTTTAACTTACAAGAATCAGCTTTCCCTTCAAATATTTTGAGTATAGAAAGAGAGAAGAGGAAAGGGAACACACCAGGAACCGAGACAAATGCAAGGAGGCTCCTTAATAGTGGTCTAAGTGGGGATAGCATTCCATTTTTGTAAAAAAAAAAAAAAAGCCTTAAATCATTTTCAAGTTATTAGGAAATACACTTCGTAAAGCAACCTGTGAAGCAATGATCTTATCTGTTACTTGGGGCAGAGGTCATGCTTCAAATGAACACCTATTCATAGCATTACAACAAAATGACTCAGCTTCTCCTGCCAACATTATCCCTATCAAATAAGTGCAAATACTAGGACTTACCCAGCTTTCATCAAACACAGGAAGTAATATTTATATACAGAGAATTTATAAGAATTTATCTTTTCTTTGGCACCCAGCTGCCTTCCCTTCCAACTACCAGCTCTTTTTTTTGTTCTTTGAACTGTATCAGCATCAGTGTGGGAGGATTATCATTTAAAGCACGGATGTCAAACTCGCTGCATCATGTTGCCGTCACGTGATGTTTCACAATGTTTTAGCCATTTGCAGAACTGGGGTGGGCGTGGCCTACACTTTATCCATAACCAAAAAACCTATATCTCACAAGTTCAGTATACATTGACATATATATTTCTAATCCTCTTCCATCTCTTAGAACCATAGAAGGAAGCCTCAGAAGTGAACTAAAATGAAATAACATAACTGCTTCACTTTGCTTTTAGAAGCGGGGGGGATGTGTTACTTCACAAAGCATAAAGCTTGTAAAAGATGCTTCAAATATTCCTTCAGTGAAGCCAGACGTTATGCCTTCTGGGTTTTGCACAAGTCTACTAAACATTGGGATAAACTTCTTAGCAGCAAAGAAGATGGTCATGAATGTAATGGAATTTCCTTTGGTTGAAATACAAACAGAAGTTAGAAAAGCATCTCTTGTAGTTCCTATATTCCTAGCTGTACACAGGGTTGGGCTGAAATACCTCTAAGGCCATTCTGTGATCTGTGTTATTAGCCTTTTAGATTATTTTGGTGCCAGGAGAATGTGTCAATATTATGTACAATATGGCACTATACTTTCAACATTCTGAAATATCTCGACTTTAAGACCTCCTGGTATGTTGACATTCTGATGATGAACATAGCGCAAGGAATTTTGGAATCGGTTTCTTGCCTATAGTACACAACCTTTTCTATCCTAAACACTATTTTATCTGTACTTATTTCCTTAATGGCTACATTAAGTTTATTCCTCATCCTCATAAGACAGTGTCATAAGACTTTCTTGAAAATCAAATGCTGTCCTTCCCAAGAGCACTGTGTTGCATCTGTGCTCCAGCACAATAGTAGCAAGCTCACGCCCATCACCCTTCCTCTTTGTATTACTGTGGAGGAGTTGGTGGCAGGCAAATGCTGCTGGTCTTGGTACTAGCATGAATGGTATGGCACAAAGGCCCATTGTTTGGCCTCTGACATTGCCCTTCTGCATTGGGAGGTGCTGAGCCCTGGATGTCCTAGGTCTCTCTTTAAAAGATGTGGCTGGGATATTACCATTCATATAATCCATCTGCCTCTTCCTAAGAATTGCTCCTGTCATTGCCCTTCTCCCAAGGATACACAACCAGCAAAACTATGTGCAACAAATTTGTGGGAAGCTGGAAACTCATCTCTAGTGAAAATTTTGACGATTATATGAAGGAATTGGGTGAGATTTATCTCGATTTGATTTTTAAAACGCTGCAGATTGCCCGTTGTTGATTTCTCATCAGAGTTTTGCAGTTAGATTATGAAACATTTAATTCTCTTTAAAATAAATATTAGAAAACATGAGAATTTTTAAATTTCTTCTTTGGTAATAACCTTCACAGAATTTATTACTTAGCTTTTATTATAGTATTAGATGAATATGTTTCTTGTTGCTTCTTCCAAGTCATTATTCATGATGGAATAAGGAAAAACTTCCTCTGAGTCCATTGGAGCTGGGTAGCTAATCAATTTAATTCAATGTGAATGTTTTTAAAATGTTATCTAATTTTAGGTTCTATTTAATTGGGCCAAACTATGTTATAATAATAATTTTAATTAGCAATTTTATGATGTTTGTATATCTATATTTTTCTTGACTGTACACCACCTTGAGTCCTACGGGAGAAAGGCGGTATAGAAATATAATTAATAAATAAATAAATAAATAAATAAATAAATAAATAAATAAATAAATTTAAATAAATAATCCTAAATTTCTTGATAGCCAGTTTTTACTGTAAATAAAATTATTTGTTGCACAGAAATTGTAGGCATAACTCTATTTATTCGCAGAATTACTCCATCCGTGAAGGCTTTTAACTGATGAAGTCAGATATGTCTGGAATATAAATTTAGTTGTTTATTTTGTCCAAAAACTAGGTATATTTTAAGGAAGTTTAATTGGGTTAAATATGAAAGTTTGCTATATATATATATATATTTAAATAAAACTGTATTGAATTGTTTTTGAGCATGAAGTAAAATATGAAAGAAGAAAGAGCTATGTGAATTATCATTTGTTTTACTAGAGAATGTTAACTTGCTTTGTTGTAAGATCAGTATACTTAAGAAGATGTGCTTCCAGACTACTTTTTTAACCTATGAAAATGCATTTTTGAAAAAACAAAAAAAGGAGATTATGTGTGATGAGGTTACCATCTGGACTGCAAACATCCACATGGCTAATAAATGGCAGTTGAGCAATAGAGTTTCCTATATCTCTTTGGTGCCATCAGATAGTCATCTGGATTTGTATAGCCCACACATGCTTTATTTCTACATCATCAAGAAGTACCGGTCATTCCGAGCAATCATTCATCTTTGTAAATGCATCATCAGATATCAAACATCAAAGAAAGAATGTGGTGATCACACTTGGAGGTAATATGTAAAATGCAATAAGTTTCTCCCAGATGCACACGCACTATACACATATAGATGCATGCATCTGGTGCAGAAGATTCAATGACTAAAATCAGATCTTGCATGTTGTTGTAATGGTAGGTGAAAGTGACTTTACGAGATAGGTGCAGACTGCCCAACCGGCATGTGGAAGATGCTTCAGCCCCGTACAGAAGGAGGGAGAGTGTGGGAAATGTTTCAAACGGGACTTTAGTTTTCTGGAGAGTAAAAGTAAAGGAGGAGAGGCATACTTTCAATATTGCAAAACTCTGTTAATGTGCAATAAAGGTACAGTTAGTATCAGTAGTGAGATGTAAAATTTCTTACTACCGGTTCTCTGGGCGTGGCTTGGTGGTGGGTAATGTGACTGGGTGGGCGCAGCCAACTTTTTTAAAAAAAAATTTTAAAAGCATTTTTTCTACAACCTCTTGGCCAAAGAGGTTGGTAAAAAATGCTTTTAAAAGCCTCTGACGATCCCAGCTGAGCCGGGAAATCATCAGAGGCTTTTTTTTTTTACTTTTAAAAGCATTTTTTCAGCCGAAGAGGTTGTAGAAAAAATGCTTTTAAAGTAAAAAAAAAAAGCCTCTGATGATCACGCGGCTCAGCTAGACATGGGGGGGAGGGGCACAGGGATTTTTGCTACCAGTTCTCCGAACCACCCATCACCATCGTTACTGGATCAGGTGATCTGGTCCAAACCGGGAACATTTCACCCCTGGTTAGTACTCCTGGTTGTGCTTCCTCACAGGATTAATTTTTTTTCTGGAAACTGACTCTTCATATAGAAAAGATATCACAGAAAAGCAGTTCTTTCTACTTTGGCTTCCATTTGTTATTTATTTAATTTTATTATTCACTTGATGCTGCTGTTTTAGTTTTTCTCAACCAGTCACTCTATAGACATATTGGAGCACAATTCCCATTGTCCCCTGCCAGATGTTCCTTATCATCACTGTGGAATATGAAAAATCTACCCTTAAGGAGGGTATTGGGCTATGACTATGTGGTTCACAGCAATGAATAGTTGTCCTACTAGGAACACAAATAAATGCTATTATTTAACTATGAATTTAAATATGAGTGCAGGTACGTAATATGTCAGAGATAATTGGTGTAAATGATTGCGTAATACAAGCCACCCTCGTACACTTTTTGTCAAATGAGTAATGAATGACTACTTTTTTCTTGGTGTTCCATAGGAGTGGGATTGGCGACTAGGAAACTTGGTAACTTGGCAAAGCCTAAAACCATCATCAGCATGAAGGGTGATGAGGTCACAATCAGAACAGAAAGTACCTTTAAAAATACACAGATCATATTTAAGTTGGGTCAAGAATTTCAAGAAACCACAGCAGATGGCAGAAAAACCAAGGTGAATAAGCTTTTTTTTTTTTACATTTTATCGGAGGTATTTTGATGTTCTTAGGAACAGTGTAAGAGTTTCCAATCACAGAGGAAATTAATAAGGGGTCATTCAGATAGTTGATTACCGTCTACCATATTTCCTCAGAGTTCAGTCCTGATGTGGGAAATTCTCATTAAAGTGTTGAGTATGTTTAAGATGTATTTTGAAAGAAAAGGAAGAAAAATGTCTTATAATTGACAATCTTTGTAACTTCCTTTTTACTATAAAAGAACTACTGTATGTCGGCTGCAAAAATTCAGATGACAACAAGAGGGTTGTATAGACGTAGAGAAAAGTGACTTTGCCACCAAATAGTGGGCCCCTAGATTTTCCACCTCGGGTTAGGCAGACTTACATAAAACTATGGCTTTGATACAAACAGGACAGAATCAAGGAGGGCCCCAAGGATTATACAAACACAAATAATAATTCAAAGGAGACAAAGCAAACAAGGCATGTGAGAACTGAGCATAAAGCATGTGGAAGATAAAGCAGAAAAATAGGAAGAGGCACCATCAAGAGGAAAATATACTATAATATATATTGAGGGTCATTTGTTTGTGATTCAATAGCAGAAAAATAATTGGCATCTTATTGCTAATAAAACTGTAGCTATTTAATATACAGTAGCAAAGCTCAAGGTTGCAAGTGACTATGATGGAACAATACAATACAGAAATAGCAAAATGGATATAGGGAACAGCGTGACTGGTGAATTCATGGACTCACCTATATTGTTTTCATATCAACTGTACAAAAGTAGTTTTGTCCTGGCTTTCTTCCAGGGTGCATTTTGACTTCTTACTTGAGTCTCTTGCTCTGCTGTCTCTTGGTAGCTCATCATCCAAGTTCTGCTTAGTTTTTTCAAGATCAGCCACCATTATCAGCTAAGCACTGCTATCCAGTGTGACAAGCAGGATATATGTGTCTCTTTTTTTCTCTCTCAGCTGATTATTCCTAAGTGCTAGAAGATGATGATGATGATGATGATGATGATGATGATGATGATGATGATGGATATGTAGATGATAGATCTATTGACAAATCAAAGAAAGATAGATAGATGATAGAGAGAGGGGGGAGGGAGAGGGGGAGAGGGAGGAAGAGAGAGAGAGATGCATAGTCTTTACACATGGGAATAGTATTTCACATTTTTTATTGTACTCAATCTGTGTCAAAATGATAACTTTTAGTATTACTATTTGGATCTACAGACTGTGGTAACCTTAGAAAAAGGAGCGCTGGTTCAAGTGCAGAAATGGAATGGCAAGGAATCAACAATAAGGAGGAAATTAATTGATGGAAGAATGGTGGTGGTAAGTAGTTCTTCTTAATCAAGAAAACTACAGGATGTGCATTTGTTTAATTTGTTTATTGCAATCTTAGGAACTTTTGAATGGCAAGGTATATATTTTGATCACAGCTGTATACCTGAAAAGGGTACCCTGTTGAAAATACACATTAAACATTAAAGAATAAAAACGTGTGGCTTAGCAGGAAGTGCATTTTTATCTCTTCAGAGAACAGTTCATGAATGAATGGATTTGAATATGTCCTTCCTGAGTTGTCCAGTTTAAAGCAGGTTTTGATTTTGGGATGGTGTTCATCAGTGAAAACATATGCGTGAGCCAATTTGATTAAAATCAAGACTACTTTCAAAGGGCCCAAATGAGTAATGGTATTTTCAGCTTTTTACATTAGGCAGAAATAGCAAATGAAGAAGAAAATTATATAATAAAATTATGCACATTGAGTGGTTAAGGAGAAAATTTTTCTCATTCTGTCAGATATAAATACAGTGAAGCTGAATGGTAAGAGGGTTAAATCTGATTAAAGGAAGCTGACAGATAGAATTTGGTACCCCATGATTTAGCAATGGTCGATAACTTGAATGGTTGTAAAAGCAAATGAAAGAAAGAATATTTGTAGTTATTACTCATCATAGCTATATAATACTTACAAAAAACAGTAAGTTCCTTAGCATTATTTCCTAATAAATGCAGTTCAGGGGAACATTGTGTTCCTATCCTGCCTTTTGGCATTCCTAGTGTAGACTAGATAAACATTTGATTGGTTCATCAAGCTGTGTTCCACCGTGTCCTAAAGCTAAATTTAAGATGGCTTCACTTGTTATAGATTAAAATTATATATACATGCGCAAACTTTAAGTGACTGGGAGAATCAGTTTCACGTCTTGATCATTAGCATTCAGAAAAAGTTCCAGGCACATGCTGACTTACTTGTTCTTTATTAAATCTTGTGTTCATTAGAATTAAACAAAAGCATCTTGGATTTTGGTCATTGACTTTTGATAGGCAGCAGTACCATAAGAGACACTGTACAAGAAGGCTGGAAAAGAAACCAAAATCAAAACTGATATAAACTTGCTAGCTACAATGTTTAACACAAGCTTTTATTATTCATTTTCAATTTTTTTTAAAAACAAATATCAATTCCCATCTTACATTTGTATAAATATATTGTATAATGGTGTTGAGGCTAATCATGTGATTATGACTTGTCTTAAATCTCAAATTATGTTCCTCTTTTTAGGAATGCATCATGAAAGGCGCCCTGTGTACAAGAGTTTATGAGAAAATGTGACAAAACTTGAAGGTTATACCAGATGAGACCAATTCTCCACAACATTTCCTTGAGGAATTGCCGAGGAACTGCCATTTCTATTCATCTTTTCCCTTTTTCCCTTTTACTGGAGGGCAACTAAACTATAAGTATTAATTTAAACAATTAAGAAAGTAGATCACACTTGATACTAAATAAATGCTTACCATTGTATAAATGTGTAATTTCAGTGAAATTAAATGGTTGCATCTAGCCTTCCTGAACATTTTGTTAAAGAGTTGTTCTTATTCCATAGTGATATACTCTTGCACTACTGAATTTATAGACATTTTACACAGAAACAGGCATATTCATAATTTTTTTAAATGATATGTTATGCAGCCCAGATGTGCTAATCTGGAGTCCTTGACAATATAAAATAAAATATTCACCATCTCTTAATGAAAGGCAAGAGTTTATTTATTTTCTCCTAAAGCTGTGCTGTGAACCTGAGATCTCCCATTAGGCTAAAGTTCAACATCAGTTTAGTTCAACATCATTTGAAAGTGTCATGCTGACTATGCACAGCAGATAGGAAACATGGCCAGATAAACTAATTCTGCTTTATTATAAAGCTACATTAATAGAATCTTGCAAGTCTCTTCCCCTTATCTTTACAGCCTAATAGGAGAGGGAGGATCCCTTCAGAAGCCTCTTGCTCCACCCATTATGCATCGGTGGGCTATGCTCCCTCTTATCAGTCAATTCTCTAGGCAGCATCTCTTCACCAGGTCTCTCAAGGTCTTTGCCACATACCAATAAAAAAGTAAATCACATTTTTGTGTCACTTTCCTGATTATCAGCTTCATAGCAGAAAGGGAAGTGAGAATCAGTGTCCCCCTCCCCCACTCCCCCAAAATGAAAGGCTTCACACTTTTTGGTCCTTGGTCCTACCTACCAACTCATTCAACTTCATTCAACATTGACAATAGGTCCCCAACCAGGTAGGTTTGGGTGGGGTAGGTGTGTGGATGTGTTTTAAAATAAAATCATGGCAGCTCCGATTATGGACACCATTTTTTGATTCCTGAATTCAGATTTCACTGTCTCAAACCAATTTAATCTTCTTTAGCTTGGTACCTTCTCGATGTGTTGGAATAAAGTTCACAGATTTACGATACCTCCAATGCATCTGGAAGTGAGCAGATTAAGTAAGGTTTTAAGGAATATAACGTTTGGTGATAAAAAGTTTTCTTACAACTGAACCTATACATGAGGAGATGTTTAGTTCTGCTGTTCATAGCCTTAAAAAGGTTTACTTCATTTTGTTTGTTCATGCCTAAATTACTGGCCTAGTATGCTTTATTAAGAGAGAGAGAGAGAGAAATGTAGCTGCTCAGCTCTGCAACAGATCTGCCTGGCACTTTCTCTATAGAAAAATAACCATTAGCAGCTGTGTCATGGGAATTAAGAGTTTTTCCAGAACAGGAAAAGTGCAACTGTGCTGATAGCACAGAAAAAAATAAATAACTAGATGAGGTAGATGGTACATCCTATTGATGAATAGGCAGCATGCAATCAAATTCTAAGCCTTTGTTTTAGCAGCCACTCAGGTGGGTGGAGGGGCCCTGAAACTGCTCCAATCTTTCTAAAAACCATCAGACTACATCCTGTGCTTCAATTTAATATAATTTAGACACACCAGACATAACTGAAGGTACACATAGGATACAACTCCAGCCACTTGTCCATTCACCACTTCTTTTCTCCATCCAATTTAACTTATAACCTGAATGGATCAAATTCTGTTTATGATTGTCTCATAACATTGTCCCGTTTCATAGACAAGTGTCAGCATATTATAATAAAACTCAGGTCTTTTTTTCACTCTGCTAAGTAGGAATTATGCACCTTTATAGTGCTATTAAAAATAAAATAATACTATAATGATTAATAATCAGAAGTAAATATTACAATCAGATTATATTGAAGGCAGCAATATAAGGAAAACAAATATAGAAATGTTACCTCAAGTTAGTTCATTTGTCAAGCCAATATTACCTATGTTAACAGCTTTGTAAGATCAAAAATGGAAATATTTTACAGTACTTGCTATTTGGTTACTTACACTGGAGAAGTCACAGCTCCGGATCTCATAACATGTTTGGACATTTACTTAACAACTGCAATTACCATAGCTACATTTATACTTTATGCTAAACCATAGCATAACAACCTCGGTGCACATATAATACTAAACCAAAACCAGGGCTTAATAAGGCTTAGTATGGTCATTCTGAACCTTGATGCCCTCCAAATATGTTGCCAAGATTGCCTGGAAATCTGCGTATTTAGAAGATGCTAGGATGGAGAAGGTTGGCTTAGCAGAGTATGAAAACAAGGCCTGGGTTTTATTATAATATTCTGACAGTTGTCTGTGAAAGGGGACAATGTAATGAGGCATTCATAAGCAGAAATTAATCAATTAAGATTCTCATTAAAGACTAAATATCTACAGTGGTCTTCTTGTACTCACAGTTCTTGAGGTTTTTATTCATGATTCTCAGTTCCACAGGAACAGTATGTAGGAGATATTTTTAACTGATTGTATGATTTTAATCATGATTAATGTAGAGTCAGTAGATTTTAATGCCCTATGAGACCTGTAAATATTGAAATAAAATCAAACAACTGCAATGAAAAACACCATTTTGCTGATGTCTTCCTTGTGATCTTCCTGGATGTGTCTGGCTGGACATGGTGAGATACAGAATTCAAAATAGATAGCCCTTAGTCCAACATGGTGGCTTATTCACATGGTTTGTTACTCTTGGGTGGCATGGTATAATTGTAACTTTAGCACTGGTGAAATTCTTCATGAATTTATTAGATATAAATTTGTAATATACTCCAGACAGTAAAGTTGGCTATTACAGCTACACTCATGCATTCTATTACTCCATGGGTGGGCAACTGTGGCCCTTTTACAACCTGTGGACTTCAACTCCCAGAATTCTGGGAGTTGAAGTCCACAGGTTGTAAAAGGGCCACAGTTGCCCACCCAGTATTACTCCATAACTGATCTGTTGGCATTTTGATAGTTTAATACATTCTGCACACGTAGACATTGTTGTGTCGTGATGTATGTTAAGATAAACAGCAGGCACAAAAAATGAACCTGGTCAGTTGGAGATATGAATAAAAGTATGTAGACTGTACAGTGAGTTAAGTCTACTTCCACAAACTCTCAGATCCACAAATGATACCTTCTAATTGGGTTTCCATTTGACAAACTGGCTAAAATTACAGTGTTTAGATATCCTTGACAGTTTTTGGTATTAATTCCCATGTTTATTAAGAAGGAAATTGTGCATCTTGCTACTTAAGAAACCCTGCACTGGGTAATAGGCCATTGTACTTCAGATGGAAAAATAACTTCCTGAAAATAATAGTTAACAAAATTTGGATTAAAGTTCAAAACATCATTAGAAAATAATCAGTGCTAAAAGTTTTGCACAACATAACTTGTATTACTAGGTTGCTCTAGGCTTTGGATTATATCAACTTTTCAACATACTTTCCCATGTGTTTCTTTTTTTCTGGTAACAATATAAAACATTTATTTAAGGAAATGAAAGGCTCAGGGGACTTTGAGCAGAATAGCCAATCCACATTTGTTAGATGAAGAATCTGATTCAGGGCCAAGCAATTTGACCCTGAAAGTTGTTTCCATATGTGGACAAATATCACACAGACTACTTTGAGTTAGTTTTTATTTTCTTTAAAAGGGAAAAAGAGAAATACAGATATATTTGCTATCAGTTGACAATATGTGGATGCTGTCTTTTTGTTTTCATTTAAAAAAATATGTAGAAGTAAGGACAATTCACAAAGGTAATCAAAACTTAAGAAATCATTTTCAGTGTAAACAATATTTTCATGGTTTAAATATTCTTAGAAAAATAACAAAATAACAGAGTTGGAAGGGACCTTAGAGATCTTTTAGTCCAATCCCCTGTTGAAGCAGGAAATCCTATATCATTTCAGACAAATGGTTGTCCAATCTCTTCTTCAAATCCCCCATGTTGGCACACCTACAACTTCCGGAAGCAAATCTTTCCACTGATTAATTGTTCTAAATATCAGGAATTTTCCCCTTAGTTCTAACTGTCAGGAAATCTTGGGTTATTAGCAGTGTTGGGATTCAAGTAATTTAACAACCGGTTCTCTGCCCTAATGATTTCTTCCAACAACCAGTTTGCCAAACTGCTCAGAAAGTTAACAACCGGTTCTCCCGAAGTGGTGTGAACTGGATGAATCCCACCACTGGTTATTAGCCAGGATGTAAATCACTATTTCAGTCCAAATAATCATGGCTTAAATCGCTATTTGAGTCTTAATATTGATAATTTAAATTACGAGTTCAGTCCAAAATGATTCCTGCTATATTTTACATAAAGCAATACAACATTACAAAGCTAAAAATGTTAATAACCTTCCCAGTGAGGTGGCAGCTCTGTGATCCTCAGGCTGTTGCTGAACCATAGCCATCAAGAGCCCCAGTAAAATATGACCATTAAAAGAGGATGCTGGGAAATGTAATTTGGCAACCTCTGAAAGATCACAGGTTTCCCCATCCTTATTTTTAGCATCTGGTTTTGTTCTAGGCTAGTATATTATACCTTTCCCCAGCATTTCCATCATTTAAGAGCAACAGGATGAAATTAAATATAACAACTGGGCTTCTTCAAGTGTGCTCTTGGGTGATGATAATGTGATCTTCTACTATAGCCTTCTCCAAGCTAGGCATCTTCCAGATTCATGAACTTCAGCTTCTTGAATATTTGAACACAAAGCCAATACAGAGACTTCTAGGCACTGAAGCCTAAACATCTGGATATTATCCAGGCTGCATTGAATTGGAAAGTATAATATGTGGCTTGGGACCAAATCTGACAACATGTCCCTTCCTATTTGTTTTTATAGTGGACAGGATGCAGAGGTGATAGTGAACATACCCACCTTTCACTTATGCTTCTTGCGCTACCGTCACTTGGAGGAACATGGCTAGCTTCTGGTTTTTAAGGTGAAAGTTGAATTTGTTGTACAGGAAATTAGAGTCAAAGCTCTATATTTTTCACATTTTTGTAAGCATCTGGGGAAAGGGTCACACATAAAGTCGAGTTAAGATTGAGAAATAATGTGGACTGAGAATGCTTACTGGGATCCAGAGTCTGGTAACAACTGAAAAAATGAATAGCTTGTATGGATTACAACAGATACATTAAAGCTAGGAATTAAATTAGAAATTGAATAAAACTTGAATTTTATTGAATAAACAATACAAGTAAATCCTGTTTTTAAGAAAGTGAAGGTTCCAGAAAGGATTAGCTTGTCAGACCTCAGATTTTCATAAGATAATAAGGTCCTTTCCCCACTTCTACCTTTTACAAATTTTCTTGTAGCAACATCTCTTTTCTCCCATGTCCACATGCAGAAAAGTGTCATTTTTTGTTAAGCAACTAGAACAAACCTAAATCTTCCTTCGTTTTATGGTGTTTAAAGCAGTGATTTTTCCCCCATGAGTCAAAAACATCCAATACACGAAGTCCTTGACTTATGACCACAATTGAGCCCAAAATTTCTGTTGCTAGGCGAGACAGTTGTTAAGTGAATTTTGTGCCATTTTACGACTTTTCTTGCCACTGTTGTTAAGTGAATCACTGCAGTTGTTTAAGTTAGTAACATGGTTGTTAAGTGAATCTAGCTTCCCCATTGATTTTGCTTGTCAGAAGGTCCCTAAAAGTGATCACATGACCCCAGGATACTGAAACCATCATAAAGATGAGTCAGTTACTAAGCATCTGAATTTTGATGACATGACTATGGGGATTCTGCAATGGTCACAATTTTTAAAAACGGTCATAAGTCACTTGGTTCTGTGCCATTGTTAACTTCAAATGGTCACTAAATGAACTGCTGTAAGTTGAGGACTAACTGTAGTAGCCACAAGCCACAAAATCAGAGGCAAAATCAGATGACCAAGAATGGGCTGGAGCAGAGCAGAACTTACTAGCTATTTGAAATGATGAGAGCACGTCCCCTCCCTTTCTTATTCAGATTCATTTGCTGTTGCTTCCCAGATATCTGAATAGTACACACTTTACTAGTGGTCTAATAGACTTGCACAGAGGACTACCTATATCTAAAGAGTTTGGTTTTTTGTTTATATATCATACTTAGAGACCACCCTTCCACCTAGTAGATTTGTTCTTGCCAATATTATTGTCATTGCTATTCATAGCACTGTTGGTTAAAGTTGTATTTATTAAATCCTTTTCATATAATAAATGTTGGAGGGTTGATGAATAATCTGAAATTTCATGAAGGGGTGGAGGAGTGGAGGAATTTGGACACCTCTGTCACTGAGGCACCATTAACTCTTTTGAAAAAAAAAACTAATATGAAGATTGGAATTGTGGTTGCTAAAATGATAAAGAACTCCATATCAATAGTACAATAGCATCCCATTTCATTGTACAAAAATAAAGTTCTGCTAATGATATTTGATTTATCTTCACACCATACAAAGCCCTTACACAGCTTTTTAGGCCTCCTTCAGATCTCATTAATCACAATCTCACATGACCAAAGAGACATGATTGACTGGAGTATAAAGGCAAGAGAGAGTTTTTAGAGGGTTGAGATAATAAATGAATGTTTGAATTCCTAACATATCTGAAGGTCAGCATGACTTCTCTCAACTCCTTCTTCGGAGATATTCTAGGGTATTTCCAACCATGACTCCCACATACACCACAGGAAGAAGAAGAAGAAAAAAAAGGAAGAAACTGAGATGGTCTCTTGTAAGCAACATGAGTTTACATTTTCCAGTGGATGCAAGATCAGTGGTGTGGATAATTGCAAGACATCAGTTAACCAATGTTTTGATTTTCCATTTTTTGCTATTATCAACCATCTTTACTTTAATCTTAAGAAACTACTTGTAGTATAAAAGAATACCCCTTTAAAATAAAAATCACATAAATTGGACTATGTTGTTGTTGTTAGTTGCAAAGTCGTGTCTGACCCATTGTGACCCCATGGACAACATTCCTCCAGGCCTTCCTGTCCTCTACCGTCCTCTGGAGTCCATTTAAGGTCACGCCTACTGCTTCACTGACTCCATCCAGCCACCTCGTTCTCTGTCGTCCCATTCTTCTTTTGCCCTCAATCGTTCCCAGCATTAGGCTCTTCTCCAGTGAGTCCTTTCTTCTCATTAGGTAGCCAAAGTATTTGAGTTTCATCTTCAGGATCTGGCCTCTGAAGAGCAGTCAGGGTTGATCTCCTCTAGGACTGACTGGTTTGATTGCCTTACAGTCCAAGGGACTCGCAGGAGTCTTCTCCAGCGAGGAGAAGGCCTCAATTCTTTGGCACTTAGCCTTTCTTATGGTCCAACTTTCACCCTTCCTCATGAAAAACCATACATTGCAACTGGGAAAAGCATATTCTTGACTATACACACTTTTGTTGGCTTATGTCATTAAATATTATTAGAGCAATTGCCAAAGGAATACAAGAGTTCAGGGACACAACCAGACTGGATTTCAGTTTTAATTAGTCTAAAATAGCCCACACTAAGGGAATGGATGCATTGTGCCCTAAATTATCAAAGTACCAAGCAGTCTACCTCTACAGTACTATGTGAA